AATGGAGACTATAGGTAAACCTTACATACTAGAGCCCTGCACTCGCGCTGGATCGCTCGGATCTTAGCCAGGCCCTCAACTGTGGCTCCTGTTTCTGTTTGGTTTACCTTGCTACCTCCATCATCAGTTTTCGTCTAAAGTAGGATTATGACTAATTAGTATTATGAGCAATGATTTATTATCTATAGTGTCATGCGCTGTGACTTTTACCGGTTACCTGTAGTATGTTTACTAGACCTGCATTGTTGCATTCTGACCGTTGAAGTTGATGGAACAGCAGGGCACATCGCAACAACAACGGAGCATGCGATCCTAAACCTAAACGCTAGACCCGAAACCCGAATTAGTTAATCCCAAACCCGAAGCCCTTAACCCTAANNTTAAGCCCAAACCCTGAACCCTAAGCGCTACAACGAAAACCCAAACCCTTAAGACGGAACTACTGAGAATCCGGCAAGTTGGGCCACGCCTTGACCATTGTCACCGAAAGCCTGCCCATATGATTTAGAACTGCGTCTTTGAAGGGACGATTACAAAGGATCCGTAGGGTTTTATGAGGGGTGTAAAAAGGGGACCCCCAATGTCAGTAAAATAGCNNCCCCCCCCCCCTTCCCGCTAGCCTCTGTTGTAGCAATTGTGCAACAAGGTTCCAAGCCATGTAGACCCCTAATGAGCGACGTTCCTTCTCTTGATGAGGTTTACAAATGGAATTCCAGCAGCAGCAACTTCGTGGACGGGGCTTGGGGCTAATCAGGAATATGGTTCTATGACACCTTATGGCCTTCGATGTTCAACTCCTGGCTACAGCTGTATCAGCCCTGCAGGTTTGCAGGCTACGGTTTTGGGACCGGGCTTTACTCGCTTAAGCTTTAAACTTGGGAAACCTATGAGTGCTCGATGATGTTGAGGGTTCTGAGGTTCCACTGTACCTAGCTACCAGTGGCGTTCGAAGGACCGGGCAATTCCGAGGACCTGAAGGGTTTAGAGTGCAGGAATCGGGTTGAGGGTTTAGGGTTTAGGGTATGTTTGAGTGTTCAGGGTGTGATGACTACGGGTGTCAGGCTGACAAGGTACGTGCCGTCATAGATTATGAATGGGCTACCTTCTTGTTGGGTCTGTGTATTTCCATTAACCAGCGACCTCCCTGAGTTTTATGAAGCCGTACAAATACAGCTGGAGGAGCGTGCCGAGTACTTCTTCTTGTTTTAAGGGACAATAGGAGGGACCCTCGAAGGGACCCCTACTCCTAATACCCTATATAACCCTTATATAGTCTCATAAAGCCCCCATACAACCCCGAGGGTCCCTTTATGGGTCCCTCCTTTACTCCTTTGATTTGTTGAGGCTCATGGCCACCAGAACCATAAACCTGCTACAGCAAACAGGCTTTGCATCATCAGGTAGGTATCTGCAGAGCCAATATAGGGGCCTTGATAACTGGAATGGGGCTGTTGGGGTAGATTATGCTATACATATAATAAGGAACCCCTAAAGTAGTATAGGCAATTATTCAAGCCTCTATATTAGGCTAATGGGACTTTGCTGCGGGTGGTATTGAATGTGGGAGCTCGAGGTTTGAGTTTAGGGCTTAGGGTTTAGGGTTCTTTTAGGGTTGTGGGTGTTTAGAGGCTACGGTTCAGGGTAGAGGGCGGGGGTTCCAGGACTTGGGGTCAAGGCTAGCTGAAGGTTTGGCGCAGGATGCTTATCTAGGTTCTCCAGTAACCGCTTAATGATAAGGGTATCAGGGTACCCTTTTTCCTACTATTGGGCTTTAATAAGGAGACCGCAAACCAAAAAGGGCAAAAGGGTACTGCTGGGGAACCTAGTTATGGCTGTGACCCCAACATGCATGTTCACCAAGCCCTCAACCCTAGCATTGGTGGCGTGCACAGCCTGGGGTCTCTGAGCACACTAACCTTCAAGCAAAAAGGGGTTTGACATCACGTCGCGGCGTCTAAGGTTCTCAAGTTCAGGGTGTAACCCTGCACCCTTTGGGTTTAAGCTTTAGGGTTCAGGGTTCTGAACCCCAAACCGCAACCCTAAACCCCTAAACCCCTAAACCCCTAAACCCTAAACCCTAAACCGTTTCTTAATGCTCAAGCAGGCCTCGATGGGGATCTGCATGAACAGGTTCGAAACAGCCTCGACCAAGTCCTGGCGCAAGCATAGACAGATCCCGACAAGAAGGAGCCCGTTTAGGGTTTAGGGTTTGGAGTTCCCCTGAACAAGGACCACTAAACATCAGAAACTCGTGAATGCTTCACATGAAACGAAGTTTCGGAGTGCTTGGATACAAGCTGGAGCTCCTGATTTCCCCGCAGGTTTTTAATCTTCGCGAACATCTGATGACTGAGGGTGCATTTACAAGAGCTGGCTCATTCTTGGCATCAGCCGGTACACGGTGTAAACCCTAAACCTCAAACATTAAAAACCCCTCAAGCCTAGACTTTAAATCTGGCGGGCCCTAGTAACAGTCACCACAAACACAAGGGCAAAAACAAGCACCAGCAAAACCGCAATTTTCTGGTGCTAAGTACTGTGCTCATGATTGCGCTGTTTCTGGTGCCAAATGGGTCGTTTTCTACATTAGGGTCCCTTTTAGGGTCCACATTATATATTGTGCCGTACTATATTGGGGACCCAAAAAGGGACCCTAATTTAGAGAACTACCCAACTGTTGTGCTCATGATTGTGCTTTGAGGGTGCTAAAGGTTGCTATTCCTTGAACCCGCTGGGCCTTCAAATCCTGGTGCTCATTTCTGCCTTTGTGATATGTTTGGGGAACCTTTAGTTAACTGTTAGTGGGGGCGGCAGCATCTGAACCTTAAGCCCTAAAGCCCTAAGCCTTATAAACCCTAAGGCCCCAATCGCTAAAACCTAAAACCCTAAACCCTAAACACTCCTGCTTCTAATGTGCTTCCGATGCTGCTGCTGCTGCTGCCGCTCCTCCCTAAACCCTAGACCCTAATCCCTAAACCCTAAACCCCTTCCTCTTCCTGCTGCTCTTAGCTGTTAAATGAAGCTTCAGGGGCTAGCTGTTTTAGGGATTTGGGTTTTGGGCTTTAGGGTTTAGGGTTTCAGGGCTTTAGGCTGAGGCTTAGGGTTTAGGGTTTTAGGGTTTTAGGGTTTAGGGTTTGAGGGTTTAAGGTTGGGGTTTAGGGCTTTAGGGTTTTAGGGCCTAGGATTTAAGGTCTGAGGGTCTTAGGGTCTAGGGTTTATACCGTATACTGTATACTTCTGCTCGGGCTCGCATGATTTGAGGGGCTGAAGAATCACTGGAAAATCTGTTCTTGTAGCAGAAACCCACATCCCCTGCACAGCCCCGTTGCTCTAGAATCCGAGACAGGGAGGATCGCAGATTGGCAGAAGTTCGATGCCACCGGACTACCTTCAGAACCGTAGGCTCAATGATGCCAAAGCCTTTCCAGTCAAACCGTAGGCTCAATGACGCCAAAGCCTTTCCAGTCAAACCCCCGCTTGCAAACACACGGATCCTGCAAGGATAGGCTTTAGGGTTACGGTTTAGGGTTTAGGGTTCAGGGGTTTAGGGTTTAGGGGTTCAGGGCTTTTGACCAGGGGGTGTGATAACATGTTGAGTTTGCCGCGCCTCCGCGCTGTTGTCATTGATGATCCCCAATCGGTCCTCCCGATTATCACTAGCTGTAAACAATATGGGAACCAACATAGACCTTCATTAGTAGGATGCTCACAAGAAGGAACTCCAAACAGTGCATCTCGTAAATTGAACTAGGTGTCAGCCGTGCTCGATCGAGACTCATCAAGGGAATGCATATCGCTCTCTGTGCATATCTCGTACACGGCCCTCTCACATAGTAGCTATCGCACGGCCAGAAGGTGGCATGCATGCGGCAAACCCTGAAAGCGCCTCGTGTGTTTTACACCTGGCGGGGCCCAGAGTTTAGGGTTCATCCTGATCCCAAACCTGCCTCAGAACTCACGATGGGGATCGTATCATCCGAGTAACGAGACTCACGTACAGTTACTTAAGTAGTCACTATTTCGGCAAAAAGATGCTAGCCGCGATTGCTTGCTATTTTGTGCCTCCGCCTGGAACCAAGCTTCTCGTGCCCCTGAGCCTCGTGTAAATGTCAATGAAGTTGCACCACCTGATTTTGATAGAGGCCCCGCCCCAATGTCCTGTCAGGGTTTTGGCCGCGAAGCTTGAGAATACACACGCAGAGGCAGAAATAAAATCACCGCCAATGCAGATCTGTTACCATGCTGAACCTGAAAATAAGAGGGTCTGAAACAGCAGTAACATTACAAACCTAAGCCCTGAACCATTAACGCTTCTCTGAATGAATCCTGAAACCTAGATTTCGCTCTTTGTCCCGAACCCCGCCAAGCCCTGCACACTAAACACCTGAAGTCTCATCAAACCTAAACTCCAAGATCTTAAACCCCAAACCCCTAAATGCTAAAACCCTCAAACCCCTAAATCCTTGTAGAACCACATAATCTAGGAACCTGATTAGGACACCCTGGTCCTATAACCCCCCAAAGTATTCGAACGATGATCCCAGGCTTCTCCTTAAAAGCAGGTTCCTATATTTGCGCGTCCGAAAACAGCACAGATCGGCCTCTGACTCCTCGTCGGATTCAGGTGCCGCCTTTACTTCCTTCTCTGGGTAATTGTCCAAGAGCTCTTTCCTTGAGGTCTGTAGGCTTAGGGTTTAGGGTTCAGGGGTACCAAAGCTTGAAGGTCTGAGGGGACAGGAAAGGATGTGCCTGTGGTCCAGGTACCTAAACCCTAAACCCTGAACCCTATACCCAAAACCCTGAACCCTAAACCTGCATCAGGCAACTCATCACGTTTACATTCGCAACGAACTTGGGTTCTCACTACCATACCCATAGGCCCCACAGTAGGTCCTTTGTGGGATTATCTGATGGGATCCTAAATGCAAACCACAAAGGAGCTACTTGAGGGCCTATGGGTAGTTCTGCGAAGGGCTTGGAGCTTTCGGCTCTGGGCTAAACCCTAAACCCTAAACGCTAACCCCTAAACCCTAAACCCTAAACCGGGCGATATAGGGGCTTGGAGCTAGCACTGGTATCTACTTTTCTGGAAAGCTCCAGGGTCCTCTGAATCACCAGCCAGAACCCCGACTTTTCACCTTTCCGCTGGCAGCCCCATGCTCTTAAATAACCCTAAACCCGAATAGGGTTTAGGGTTTAGGGTTTAGGGTTTAGGGTTACCTGAAACCCTGAACATCCCTAAACCCTAAGGCCATATAAACCCTGAGCCCGAAGTGCTGAACTCCATTCCCTACGCAAGAAGACATACAAGTGCTTTCCGACAAGGGCTAGTTCCTGGCTTAGGGCTTCGAAACACAGGACTGTCGCTTCGAAGTGTTTGAGGCCTGAGAGTAGCTCCGGAGTGGGTTTAGGGTTTAGGGTTTCCGTACTTGAGGAATAGGCGGTTGACACAAGAACGGCTATATAGGAGTTCCCACCCCTGAACCTTAAGCCTAAGAAGCACACCTCCTAGAAAGCCCTAGAAAAGCTCCCGGCCCCATCTTTTGCAGCCACATGGGCAACTTGCACTCGCCCGGCATGGTAGCTCCTGAGTCTGGGAGTACGGCAGGGGGCACAGGTGTTCTTCGAAAGGCTGTGCAGTTTGAGTCGTCCCGAGCGCAAGTTCACTTGGTCAGCACGGGTTAAGTCGGCAGACAGACCGCCGCAAGAGAAAAACATGCACTACCCGCAGGCTTTGATTCTTTCACATAGATTTGGGGTTTGAGATGATGGCGCCGTTCCTATTCCTCTAAGAACCTGTCGTATTTCTCAGGGCTGGAAATCTTCATTTTTTGAGGACAGGGTTCCGGGCACACAGAGCAGCCAACCTGCTCACCCGTTCTCTCAATGTGATGCGGTCCTACTGCGAAGTACATGGAAGTACCCTTACTGCTTAAACTCGGAACCCAAAATTGCTATCTCAAGTATGCATGGAAGGAAGCACAACTGCCTAACTTACCGCCGCAAGCAAGCAAAACAGTCTTGAGGCCGAAGATCGAAACTCCAAGGCTCTACACCCCGAAACCTGAACCCCAAATCGACTAAACCCCGAAACCCTAAACCCTAAACCCCGAAACCCTAGACAGCCGACATCCTAAACCCTAAAGCTTGAACCCAAAACCCCGAAACCCAAAGCCCCAAACACCGAAACCTTAAACACCCTAAACAGCCGAAACCCTAAATTAAAGCTTGAACGCTAAACCCCGAAACCCTAAACCCCGAAACCCTAAACAGCCGAAACCCGACACCCTAAAGCTTGAACCATCAACCCCGAAAACTTAGATCCCGAAACCCTAAACCCTAAACCACGAAACCCTAAACCTAAACCCTAAACCCTAAAGCTTTAACCCTATTCCCCGAAAGCCTATACCCTAAACCCAGAAGCCCTAAAGCCGAAAGCTTCCACCTTAAACGCCGAAAACCTAAACCTAAACCGACTAAACCCCGAAACCCTAAAGCTTGAACGCTAAACCCTAATCGCCGAAACCCTAAACCTACACCCTAAAGCTTCGGCTTGGAGGGATGTAGCCATGGCGCCCGATGAGGCGAAACTGCTGGCCGTCACCGCCATCTGCGGATGCGCCTTTCCGGAGCCCCGCCCCGGGGTTTAGAGTGTACGGTTTAGGGCTTAAGGGTTTAGGGTTCAGGGTTTAGGGTTTAGCGTTTAGGATTACGCTTTAGGGTTTAGGGCTTGTGTTTATAGTTATAGGGTTTAGGGCCGTTTAGGGTTTATGGTTTAAGGTTGTAGGGTG